ATGAGCCTCTTGGCTTTCCTTCCCTCTACTGCTCAGTATTCTTGACTGATATGCTGTCGAATTATTTGTCGACTCTGTGGCTGCCACCATCTTTGGCTTTGACACACCTTTTTTACATGCCCAGCAATTCCACAGTTATGGCATCAAAGTTCCCTCGCTGGACAGTTCTTCCGTCCTCTCAGCCCGTTGGGGCGTGATATCCTTCCACATCCATCACACAGCTTGCTTCAAGGGGTCCTGGGTGTCTCTTTACCCTGGGATTGCTCCCGCTCTGACCTCACTGAGCCAAATGTTTAGGTTGTCTTGTAAGTGGGGAGTCGATGTGTCTGTTGTTTCCAAACTAACCAGCCTGTGGAACTTTTGTTCCACCGTTGTTAGTATATTAGCTTCAGCTAATAGCTTGCTTTGGTATTCTTTGTTCACCAGCCCGGTGACGAGTTGGCCAGCTACCATGTCCTTTGAATAATTTACAACTTGTCAGCAACTTTTGTTCGGACACTGAACAGTAAAGTTACAAAACCTCACCTGAGCTCGTAGTTTTACCAAAAATTGCATGAGCCCCTCCCCTTCGTGCTGTCTCATGTTGTGGAATCTGTGTCTGTGTACTTCTTTATGTAGACCTCTTACCGCAATGAGTCTTATGTGTTGCAGGAGTTGTTCCTCCGTGGCCAATTTGAGGGCTTCGGGGTCCTACTAGGTCGAAAAACAATCTGTTTACTTCTTTTGAGCAAGTCGTTCGCAACTTGTTACAGATTTCCGCCGGGTCTGTTAGGCCACACATGTGTTTGTAACGATCCCATGAGTTGGTGCACAGTGCCCAGTCTCTGTCTGTGCAGCCGTGTTCAATGATAGGTCTGTCTGGTTTCTTAGTGCGGGACCGGTTCAACGTATTTTCTCTGCATGCCCGAAGTTCGTTATTCTCCCTCTGTAAACCTATTAGCTGTTGAACCAGTTGCAGGTAATGCTCATTACTGCTTTGTCCTGAAGCCATTTTAATTAAATGTCTGACTGGTAGCAATTACTGATTCAATCTTCTGGTAGGTAAAACAAATCCTGTTCACAGCGCCATGTAAAGTTGACTTAACTCCCCTGAGTCCGCGTCCGACCGTATTTATACTCTGCCGGTGAAGACCGGTGTTTCTTCATCCCCAGGACCATCTCACCAATCGTCCTTCTTCTCTACAAGGTGTAGATTAAATGGTTTGTGGGAATTTGGTTTAATTATGTTACATGTTTGGCAGTTGGCTATCATCTATTTCTTCAACAGAGTATGGTAAGTTTTTACTTTAAATGAAGTGTATCATTCTGACTACATCTGGGTGACACAGGGATTCATGCAGTTTTAACAGTTTGTTGTCCAGGAAGGTAGCACAACTGGCTCATGTGATAGTGTCCGCTGCCACATTCTCTTTACTGTTACAGTACTGGATGTCAAAACTAAAAGAAGCAAGATTGATTATCCAGTGCAGAATTTCTCATTTTTTTATTTTGTCATAATTTTGTGCATTGAACATAAATCGCACAGACTTCTCGTCAGTTTTTAAAATGAAAGGGAGTTGTGTGATGCATCAGTTTCTACAACAAATATCAGATTATCACTGATTGCAGTCAGGCTGGCATCTATCAGAGAGATTTTTAGTGTCTGGAAGGCTAACAAGGCCTCTCCTGATAGTGGAAAAGTGTGGGTTGATTTTAATTTTTTGATTTTGTCAGAAAATTTCTTGAACCACCTTGCATAATGTGCAAACATTCCAATGATACGTTCTAAGGACTTTGTGTTTTGCGGAGCAGGTAGCTCCATTAATGATCACAGACGCTCTGGGTCAGGCTTGATTATCCCTTCAGATATGCGATATCCCAAGTGATTAATTGTCTGGACAGAGTATTTGTATTTCTCTTCATTGTATGTCCAGTTGTCCAGTTTGGCAGCCTTTTGGAAATGTTGAATGTTGACATCATGTTTTTCCAAAGTGGTTCCACAGATTATTAGATTGTCAAAAAGGCATATGTGTCCTGTAGATCATGTTTCCTGATAAATTCATCCATCTTTCTTTGGAAACGAGCAGTCCCATTGGGTCACACCATACAGCATCCTGGTAACTTGGTAGAGCTGACCCCTAGATTGGAAAGTTGTATAAGGCCTGTCATCAGGATGCAGCAGGATTTGGTGATATGCACTTTTTAAATCTATTGTGCTGAAGTACTTGTACTGGGCTAGCTGGTTGACAGTACTTTCAATGTTGGGCATTGGGTATGGTTTCCGTTCTCTTTCACAACTAATGGTTGTGCATTCCATGCTGATAGGCTTTGGTTCAATGATTCCTTCTTTTAGTAAACATTGCATCTCTGAATCAATGAAGTGTTGGTCTGGTCTTGAAAACTTTTATGGTTTGGTTGCAACTGGTTTGCAATTTGTAGATAAATTAGCGAATTGGGTCAGAGTGTTGATGTTAATAGTTGTAAGGGTGCAAAAGGTTAATGTTGGTTTGCTGCCACCATACTTGATGACAACACTTTCATGCTGCACTTGAAAATCAGTTCCAAGGATTATATCAATACACAAATCACTAATTACATTTAGATGAACATTTGTGTACTCACGTCCAAGAAGGTTGAGGTCCACAATACAATATCCTGCAATTTCAGTGATTTGTGTTCCTGCAGCCATGCAGAGTGATCCTGATCTTGGGTATTGTTTCAATTTAAGCCTTTTGGCGACTTTTTGGTTTATGAAGCTTCTGTCAGTGCTTTCATTGTTAATTAGGGATTTGAGTTTTTGTCCTTTCATGAGTATATTATTCAGTAGCAGCAGAGTAAATACTTGAAAGTGTGGGGCTGTTATTGATCGACATTGTGTGAACTGCATTGACAATTGCAATAGACTGTGTACTGGACTTGCTTGAGTGGCACATTTTTTTCTGGTTTTGGAACATTTATGGCAGGTCACTTGCCTTGCAGGACATTTGCTTCATGAGTGATGTAGATTTGCACAAAACCAACATTGTGATTTTGTCGCAGTTAACGTGGCTCCTGCAGAGGGTCTCTCTTCTTTCATAGCTGCACTCATGGGTGGTGTGGATGGATTCTGTTGGATAAATGCAACAACATTTTTTTGTGCAAAGTCGAGAGAATGAGCCTGGCTATAAGCATTCTACAAGTCCCACATTCTATTCTCGAGGAGCCTCCATCAAATAAGATTAAAGTCGAGACTGTTGATGAATGCATCGCAAATGGCTTCCTCTTGGTAGGCTTCTGCAGTTACTGGTTTCTAGTTGCAGTATTTAGATAACTTGTGCAGTGCCTGTAAAAATTGGTCGATTGATTCATCAGGTTTCTGGCAATGACTTGTGAGGAGGGGACGTGCAAAAATCTTGTTCGTATAAATATATTCTAGTGTTTGTATGGCTTCCTTGTATATATTACAGCTTTCTATTTCATCATACACTGTCTGGTCTATGTGACTTAATAAGACATTGAATTTATCCAGCATTACATTAAGTGACTGAATAGCATACAGATAGATGCCAAACATCTGGTACCAAAATTTCCATTTTTTAGCAGCAATTGGTGAATTTTAAGTGAAAAATTAAAAATACTATATTGTGGTGAATGACGAGACTGAAGAAAATACCTTTGGTCGATTAAGGTTTTATTCAACTCAAAAAGACACATGAGGTGTAAACAAAGATGTCCATTTTAGAACTCTTCTATGAAGGAGAATAATCCCTTAATAAGGGAAGATAACTATAATAATATATTTTAATTTTTAAGTGAAAAATTAAAAATACAATGTTTTGTTGTCACAACATGTTTATACTAGAAATATTGCATGAAAGGAACTCTTAAATTACAGTTGGCTATGTAGATAAATAAACTTTTAAAATATGTTTAGATATATATATTAAAATTAGTGTAATTTATTCCTTATTATTTTCATTTTTTCAGGTAGAAGCACAGTTGTTAACTTTACTTCATTTTGCTTTTAATATCTACATCATATCTACATCAGACACTGTAGAATGGTGCTACAATATCACAAGCAAAAACAATAAAAATGGGTAGAAAAGAGAAAATAAGAAAGACATTAACTTTCCACATCACCAAAAACAAATGTTTAGAAGGAAACTTCCAGAAGTTGAGAAGTCTAATTTCATGAAAAACTGTTTTAAGAAAAAAGGTTTTTATAATTTTCAGCTGACAGCATCACTAACTGTTTGGCCAATGAATGCCAAATGTTTAGCATCCAAGAACATGACTGTATCTGAGAAAGATTCTTCTCATTTTATAGTGGGATATGCAGGGAATCATTTATTATGAGCTGTTAAATGATAATCAATCACATCTGAAGTATACTGTTAATAGTTAAGGTGTTTAAAAACAGCTTTGGGCAAAAAAAAAAACCCAACAAACTTACATCTTTAGTAAATAGAAAAGGAACCATCCTTCACCATGATAACCCATGACCTATATATTGCATGAATGATCAAAGATCTGGAAGAACTTGGTTGTGAAAAAATGTTTTATCCACCATATTCTGTGGCGATCAATTCTTCTGATTACCATCTGTTTAGAAGCTTATAAAATCATATGGATTTAGACTAAGTTCAAGAGAAGAGGTCAAAACCTAAATAGTTTTATAGGTGACATTAAAATTCTTGTTGACATATGGGATAAGGTCATTGAAAACAATGGTTACTTTATTGATGTTTATATTTTAATCTCTACTATTTTGTTTTGTCATAGAAAAAATTGGGAAAACTTTCGCTACAATCTGATAATTGATAGATTATTGTTAGAAACACAGATACAAAAACAACAAATATTAGGATTCTGTCATGATTATGTCTAATTTTAGATCTTTAGATCAAGAATGTAAATGTTTATCTACTTAAAGTACATTTTTATATATGAATAAGTCTGAGATACTTGGAATAAAATTGTCACAAAATAAGAACATTTCTATCATTCAACAGGAAAAAACAGTATGAAAATATAGTTACCTGTCTGAAGAATTCTTCAAGAAGCAAATCTGTCCATCTTTTATGCATACTCCATTCTTTTGCAGGGTGACTAATGTCTGCACAATGCAAGACAAGTGACAAAGCTTTTGACTTTTCAATGCTATAGAATGAAAGAAAGAAAAAGAAGCAGCAATCAGAAATGAAACCTGAGAATTATACAAGGAACAATGTAAGAAGATACATATGTTAATATTTGGCTACAAGAATTGTCCATGATTTAATGTCCATGACAAACAGCTATTCATACAAATACTTATATAAACATAGTATAATTATTTGCTTCAAATTCACAAGGGTAAAAAAAAAATCCATTTCCTGCACTTTGCCATGCTGTTTTTCATATAGACATTTCTTGTTACTGTCATTCACTGGGGGGGGGGCTATAAAAACAGAAAGAATTTTCTTGATAGCAATAAAAATTGAAAGACATTCATTAATATAATATTCAGAAATAGAGCTTTCAATACTTTTAATTAGATAGAATTCTTATTTTAATTGTGAAATAAGCTGATAAATTACTATACTGAAACAAAAATACAATTTGTAAAATGACACCAACATCTATGAAATTTTAGAAGATATTTTATAAATCATGCTTGAATTCAAAAAAGGTGAAGGCATAACAATCTAGCTTACAAACATTATGTTTGAAATACTTGGAATAAAACTGAATAATATTTGGTGATACATTCCACATTTGACTCTATTTGTTTTTTTACAAATATTCAAAATGATGGTTCCTGATAAATCCCTTTTAACAGGAATCATTCTCTGAAAAAAACTTTCAATACATACTAACCTTTCAGGCATACTGAGCATGCTTTTCATGTTTTTTATTTGCTGGAAATGGTAGGACATATCTGTGGCTAAAACCATGTCAATCAGCAGGCTACGGAACTCTCTGGAAAAGAACAAACAATATTTTGATCAGCTATGAAAAAGGTTGAATATATATATATATATATATATATATATATATATATAGAGAGAGAGAGAGAGAGAGGTTTATGTACAATGTACCTTCCACATGAATGATAGGATTCAATGCAGAACATTGCCCAAAACATCATACTGTATATTTACATGTTCATATATAAAGGGGGGTTATGAAAACTTCTTAGCTCAACCAACTCAAATATCAATCAAATTATTTTGGAGAGAAGGGTGTCTTGGTTGATCTGAAAACTTTTCACCAACTACATTTAAACTAAAATTATATAACATTAAAACTAGGTAAATCAATAAGTACACAGCCTAATTTTGAAAAAAGCACTTATTTCATACAAGAGATAATTTTCAAAATAATCTCCTCCCTTGTGAATGCAGTTAATTCAGTGGTGAATATTAATCACATAAATTGAAAATTTTGATCAAAATAAATTCAGCTAATAACTCTGCATCATTTTATGGATTTATTGATGCACTTTTGTCTATGTCCTGTTAGGATTTTGAAAATATTCATCCTCATTGAAAAAATTATAACCCTCCCCACAATACATTACTTATCATATTAATATCAATTAATATTGTAATATGTAGGTAGTGTAATGGTAATCAGTACAGGAAGTACAGGGTAATCCAAAAGTCACATTACCATTGATAACCTTGTAAATTTTATATTTATTTACCAAATGGAATCATGTGTCTGTATATGAAAATATATTAAGAAATTTTATTGGTCGAATTATGGAAGATGATGTCATGCAAATTTTCCCTTGTTGCTATTTTACAAGTGTATATTTTCTGTCAATGGTCATGTGACTTTTGGGACACTCTGTAGAATTGTTGAGCTGAGCTCAAATTCCAACTAAGCCTGTTATGTTCCTTTTCAAACCAATGCCTTGGAAAAGGCATGGAATCATCTCTTTTCCCTCTAGCAATGTGTTAAATAACAGAATAGACTAAACTTTCAAAACTTGGGTAGCAGCCTGTCAAAGAGAAGGGCTACTCTAAATTCAAAATTGTGAAGAAGTCAACAGGAAACCATGCCACTATTTTCTTTCCCAAGAAATGATAGTGATTCCCAAAGAAATAAAAAGGTGTGGAGAGCTATGATTGCCTATTCCCTGAAAAGGCCTCATATTAAATAAATATTCTAATGTGAACATATATAACTGAAAAAGGAAATTTATTTAAAAATAATTTCAAGGATAATTTAGTCTGAGATAAATATGATTAATTTGTCACTTTTATGATGGATATGCATCACTTTCTTTATCTTCACATCTGTTTTTCATTAAAACTTTGATATAGTCATAAGAAACAATGCAGTTTCATGTTTCTTTAATAAGTATTTTAGATAAATCTTTTACAAGTTTGTATGAATAAAAATGAGAATTAAATATTACACACACACACACACACAAAAAAATATAAAGATATTAAACTCAAACATGTTAGCCAGAATCCTATCAATAAAGGTGTCTTTTGATGTATTGGGTTACTAGCTTAATGTTTTTTATTGGTTTCTCCCCAATGACATGCATTTTTTCTTTTATTATTTCTGGAGATAATTAAAGGAAAAAAATGAGATTTAACTAAAAACTAAAGTAGATAAGCCAAAAATTGTGTCCACCTGGCTCATAAGGTGTTGACATTCCATATACTTGTAAAACAGTTATGATTTGGTCTCTCCAAGACCTTTAAAGTTTTCTTCTAAGATTTAATACCAGGTCCTTTAATTGCTGAAAATTACATAGAGGTCGTACATAACAAAGTTGTTATTCCTATATATGGCATATTAACTCAACAGTATTGAGATAGGGGAATTTGGTATTTTTCATCTGAAATCATTTTCATGCAATGCAGCAAGGCACATTTTCCTGCTGGAGATGCCACTGCCATCACTGAAACCTGTTACCATGAAGTGGTGTACATGGTATTCATTTTAGGTAGGTTTATGTACAATGTACCTTCCACATGAATGATAGGATTCAATGCAGAACATTGCCCAAAACATCATACTGTCTCTACTGGTTTGTTTTCTTACAGTGTATCCAATATCAATGCTTACTCAAGATAAAGATGCATACATATCTTGCTGTTTACCTTATTTTGGAGAAAGCAAGACTTATCAGACCATGTGAGTGTTTTCCATTCATACAAAGTCCAGTTCCAATGCTCATATATCCATTGAAGATGCTTTCAATAATGAATAGTTGTTTGCATAGGTAACCTAATAGTCCTTTGACAACACAGACTAATACACAACAATAATTGATGTAATGTGTATTGTGATATATTCTTTTCTTTATCATGATTAAAGCTATCTGCAGTTTGTACCACAGTAACCTATTTTGTTGGTGAGAAAGCCTCTGTTCACTTCTTAATCAATAAGACTTAACTGACTATGCCTATTGGTGATTTTTTCCCACCTACAGCCACTGACAATATGCCCTTGCTATTACTGAACATAGGCACACTACAAACCATATAATTCCAGAAATGCTCTCACCTAGTCTTATGGGTGTAACAATGTGGGTTTTATCAATGTAAGTCAAATCTTTCTTGTTGGCAATGACTGTGGCATTCAACACATGCAAATGAAGCAGTGGAGAGTGACATGTTGATATAGTGTAGATCCTTCCAGGACAATTGTAATAAGAAAATAGCTGTTATTCATGCCAAGGTGCAGCTTACAATATTTCAGGCCATCAGTGTATATATCACCCACCCCTGACGAGTGAACCAAATCTCTACAAAAAGGTTTGTCTACACGGTGCTGAATATAATATCAATCAGCTAAGTGACAAAACAAATATTATATATATATATATATATATATATATATATATATATATATATATAGGGATGTTTGCTTGCAGATATAAATGTGTATTCAAACACAATGCCATATATATATATATATATATATATATATATATATATATATATATATATATATATGCATGCATGCATCTGTGTGTCTTTAGCTACTTTAAAATTCTGCTAAATTTTAACAAACTAATAAAGGGATTATAGAAATATTTTCACTGTTAATCTGCAGGATTATATGTATAATTATAGTTTAGTACATATTACTTTTATAATGTCCAATGCTTTTAGGAATTTTACTACATTTTCCACGTTTCACATTATTACCCATGTTAGTGAAACTAAAAGAAATTAAAATTACAGAAATGTTTTGAACAAAAAATTGAAAACAGTGTTATTGTAATGAAAGATGAAGTGTTCTGAAATTAGTTTTAGAAATTGTATGTATTGATTTTTAAGCCATTTTATTTTTCCATATGAAGCAGACTGAACTCAGAATAGCATTCCTAATTTCATCTTTACTGGTAAATACCATCCACCAAAACAAGACCTTCCTCTACAGAATGTCCCTCAAATTTTAAATTGGGTTATAGTGAGACAAGACAGCCACTTCAATAAACAATTATTTTTTAAACTCATTTTATTCAGTTTGTTCATTAGTTTTAGTTACTAATTTTAATGGAGTATTATCATACATAAAAATCATGTATTTGAATTCTTCTTGAACCATACTTCAAAAATACTTTAAAAAATCATTGTGTTTTTGAGCTATCATCTTAACACCATCTAGAACTTATCACAGACCCACAACTTTATCACTTACAATCCCACATCGAAACAAAACTTCACCTTTGAGAGTAGATGCCACCAGTAACCACTGAGCTTTTGTTTTATCCATCTGGACCATTGAGAGTAACATAGCATTCATCCATAAAAGTAATGGTTGAAAAGAATCATTCTTTATGTATTCTTTTGCCTTGTTCATTTGATTTTCCTAATGGATGTCTTTTAAAGGTGGCCTAGTTATCAGTTACACATGTTTTGTCAGTTGATTTTGGACTGGATATTTTGTACTTTTTGACACTTCTTCACTATAACAATGCTTAAAAAATTCATAGCTTGATAAAGACTGATTTTTTTTATAACTTTTCTCTTGATATGAAACACAGATCAGTAAGATAAAGTCCTAAACCTGCTCTTATCAGACCTGCATCAGAGTTCTCCAAGATCTGTTCAGTGGTACTTGCTGATCAATAATACAATTTTGAGTGCTTCTTTACCTTTTGCAAGCTCCAGATTTATTAAACATTTATTTTTATCCATTAGCTCAGCTATATCATTCATTTTAAAGCTTCAAACTCACAACATTGCTATTAACTTGAGACTATAAAATTCAGAACATTTTATACAAATTGCTGATGCTTGTTTAAATTTGCATAGAATGAACCAGATAAATGTTGGCACCATTCAGCAAATAAACCCTTTTGATTTCAATAAGTATTTCATGTATTAATAAAATTGGGTAATAATGTATCCTGCAGTATATATATATATAAAGGGGTACTGAACAGTACTGGCGTTCAATGTTCGACTTACTTCGTCCAGAAAGTATGTCCTACAGTGACAAAAGCAATGGTTAGGCTGGCCATACAAGAATGCGAGGAATGCCGTGCAGTGGACACTGCCCCAGTCCAGTGGAACAAGGGCAAGCTCGGGGTAGACAAAAACTGGTGGTGACTGGGCATGGACGTGACACATCACAATGGCAATCATTTTCTAACTTTGACAGATTGTGGCCCGACGCATTTAACTGTATGGCGTCCACTGCATTATCGATTATACAACAATTACGAGCTATCTTCTATGAACGTGGTCCCCCCCCTCCTGTTGAAATATTAACAGACAACGCCCCAACTTTCTGTAGCCAAGATTTTCAGGACTTCGCGGTTGAATGAGTAGTATGTGTAAGGTACAGAAGTGCATACACTCCAGAGGGTAACGGGATAGTGGAGTGGTGTCACTGCACCGTTAAAAGGATAGCAGCCAGAACACGGTGCTCCATTCAGGAAGCTGTATATTGGTACAACACCACGCCCAAAGATGATATAACACCAGCAACTGCGTCGGCCAACGGAATATATACATACAGACAGTGGATAAAGGGGATAGATCAAGTAATGCCAAACATTCCAAATAATACCAAAGAACCATATAAAATTGGTGATCTCATATGGGTCAAGCCCCCAAATGGATGTTGTACCACTAGATTTAGTAGAGGACAAGTTGATGGAGTTATTAGCTCCCAAACAGTCCGGGTCAATGGTGTGCCACACCATGTGGAAAACGTTCGCCCACGACACGAGTTAAGCGCCTCAGAAGAGCGTCACAGCGAAGATACGTCATCTGATAGTGGTTCGGAGACAACAATGTTTTGCACAATACAGTCAGATAGTCTGCTCTCTGTATCAGAGAGTACAGACACGGACGACGAGGAAGGTCATGATGACACTGAAAATGCCAAGGACACGCAGAACGTAGACGTGGCAGTACTACTACTGGAAGCATCCCCTCCACCTCTATGAAGGAGTGCTTGTTGAAGGCATTCTCCTCCACCCTGTCATCTATGTGATAATGAGATCAGGGGGGAGTGTAAGGAACGAGAAAACTTATCTCCTGCAAAGTGAATTTTCCTGTTGAAAGATCACGGGCAGACGTGCAGGGGAATAATTAAAAATATAAAAGACTAACAATTCAAACCAGCTTGAATTTATAAAACTGGAAGTCTCGGGTGAACAAGAAGTCTCGTATGCAAATTTTAGTTGTCCCCAATGTGAACATAAATGTCGAGTCTGGGAGGAAGACAACTGAGGGTGCATTGTTGGTGTGACAGTGTACGTGCGTACGAACAAGACTGAAAGAATAAGAGGGTCACTAGCGACAGCTCAGTTGGAGGACTGGATGAAAGCAAGCACTTTAATCCATTTCAGTCATCGCAAACGACGGACGAACTGAATTACCCACACAATGTCTTACATTTTGTGCCATATCTTGGTATCTTGCTGTCTCCACTTCATCATGTCAAAAATTCTAGCTGTCCTTGTTTTCCTTGTCTAGTTTTCTTTAGGATGATCTTATTTGTTGATGTTACTAAAGCTTCCTTTACTTTTTATAACCTTTTAATGAAAATAAATTCTTTGTTATTTCTGGTAAAAAAGATATTCTTTTTTGTCATAACCTAATTAACATAATTGTCATAAACTATGGTGGAGCTTTTCAATTAGATGAAAAAAGTAAAAGAGATGTTGCTTATCATCCAAACACACTGCAAATAAAAGAATAATGCTTAACCAAGAATCTACTAGCAGAATGTCTTCAGAAAGAGCAAGATATAATTGATTATATCTTGCTCTTTCAGAAGACATTCTGTTTTCTCATTCCAAAAGAATATTTCTATTTTCTTTTATGACACACACACACACACACACATATATATATATATATATATATATATATATATATATATATATATATACACTCAACTCTCCTGTCAAATTTGATGTATGAGGGTCAAGCAGATCAGATCCAAGGAAACCGACAGCCCGACAACAGCACATGAGATTTGATTATAGTGGTGAAAGTTTTGTGCAGGACCATCCACACTTTTTGAAGTACCAAATACAGAGACCTGGTGCACTACATGCTACAAAGTCCCCAACGACCCTCTGCAGGTTTTGAATTCAGAGTTGTCCTTCTCCTAGACCAGTTGCCATCCAAGGCTATAGAACCCAGTCTGTCCTGCTATTTACCCATAGCTGGAGGGAGAAGAAAAGGATTCACACGTAAGTGAATGTAATGGATTTGAATTCAAATTCGGCTCTCTGATTCCTCAATCCAAGCCGCTATCCATTACACCACCGTGCCTCCTCATATATATATATATATATATATATATATATATATATACACACTATCAAAGTTATTTTTAGTGGGTACATGTGTTTGAGTTGACAATTGTTTTTTATTTACTTAAACAGTGAAATTAATATCAACCAGCCAAGATTGAGCAGTTCTATTGAAGGAAAATGTACCTTTGGACAGGAATTGAAACTGTATTCCTGTTTTCCATCAGGGAAACCCCTCCTATAGCCAAAGCATGCTGTTCTCAATTATTCTACAGGGGATTGTCATGATATGGCAAGGCTCACTTACCTAGTTAAGCAATGCACACCTATCTTTCTACCCAAAATGTCAACAAATTGTTTGAGCTTATATTATAGTTTTTTATTTTCTTAAAAAGTGAAATTAATATCAACTAGCCCAGGTTAATTTCTAGATCATTTCTGAAATTGTGAGAATATTTGACATGCCTTGTCACTTATGTACAAAAAATACATACACTGGCTGACCAACGGGTCTTTAAGGATTGTGATCAGAGGTGTCTGGTTAGAATTGTGACAAGTGATACTGGCTTAAATCACATCCATATTAAAAGCAGGAAGTAACAAATGCATATCCAGCAGATCAGTTCAAAATACTTTAGCTTCTTTGGGATATGAGAGCAGAAGTCTGTCATCACTAATTGAACCCTAGAATACTGGTAATGTGTAGCAAGGTTAAGTGAGTCATGTTCTTTTAGGCTGATGGTATGGTGTATGGTATGTTCATGTGTCAGGAGGTACGTCTGCTGATCCACCGAAACACATCACTGACCAGTGAGTGTTATGTTACACTATTTCACATGAACATTTGTACTTAGTAATGAAATGCATGTGTCCCATCAGGATGATGCACCAAGCTGCACAGAATTGGAATTTCTAGGGACTTCTGACATATGCTGTGACCATCATATATATCCTACATGAGTCTCAGTGAGCATTTATAGGACATAGTGGAGAGGTCTACTTGTATGCAAAATTCTGAACTGACAAATATCAAATAGCTGTAGACAGCTATCAAGATGGCATGGCTCAACATATCAGCAGAAATGGTGTCATGTTGATCTGCTGCACTCTGCTTGGCTAGATGAAGTCCTATATGATACTAGCTAATTAACCAATGCCTTTTGCTCTGTCAGTGTATATATAATATATAAGCAACAGCTAAAAAATCAAATTGTGTTTGATATTCATTTTGCTTTTGACATTGCTTTTACCATTTTTCTAATAGCTCCTGTCTTGTTTTGTTCTCACTTTCATTGGGATTGATGAGTCACATGATGTAATTTGATATAGTATGTCACGTTCTTTAATTCTGTTCTATTTTACATGTATATTCAATAGCGGCAGACAAGAAAAAAATCAAGACAACAATTTTGCATGGTTATTTTCTATCTGAAACAGGAATCAGTGTTAAAAAATTTATTTCAAATTTCAATGTTGTAATTCCTATCAATTAAAATAAAGATAGATTCTAATGAGTAAAAAGGCAAAAAATAACATCAACCTCTTATTTTGGTAACCTTTTAAAAATCTATTTACCTGTATTCTTCTTTACTAAGTCCAGTGAGGATATTGTATTCATCTACCTTCAGTAGTTTGAATGCTGCACTTACATGGTGGTTTTCTAAAACAGCTTTATCATTATATAACAGGGCAACTTCTGACCTTGAAAGATAAAGAAAAATATAATGGGAATTGATTTAATGAAAAGAAAGCAAAACTGAAAGATGGAAAGAATCAGATCAAGTTTGTGTTTCAATTTCTAACCTTTCTGCTTTACCCAAACCGGATGGAAGTTGATCTTGAAAGTGTTCAGGAAGTTGTGAATATTTGACTGAAATTGAAACTTTATTGAGTGAAGCATAGTATTGAAATCAGTGCCACATACATACATAGAGAACACTTAAGAAAAATATAATATTTTTCTTTTTAATTTCATGATATATATAGAAAGTCAAGCTTTGACTGACAATATTTTATTATGAGATAACTATAATCTTATAAAAATGCTTATAATGTATATTTTCTGCATAAGAATGATAATAAGTTAATCTGTCATAGTACCTGTCATAACTAACATAAGATATAGCAGCCATTTGCTTTTATTATTTAGGCTATAGAGCACAATTACCTATCAGCTGAGATCCATCTTGTACTATTGGGTCCACATGCTTTGTGAGGATTTAAGTTAGAGAGGCCAGCAGAAACCATGGAAGGGGTTATATGCATATCACTTAGAGATTCAGTTCTAAGTGGGAAGTTAAGCAGGGATACTCCAGATGTGTTAAGGGTAGAGTTTGAGAAGAATTTACGAAAAAGGTACCTACAAACTATTTAACTTTAACATTAATTGAAGCAAAAGGTGCATCTGTATAGTTTTGACACTGGTATGATATGCAATAGTAATAATAATTACTAATATAGTTCAATCAGAGACATGTGCATGAAATAAGCTTTAGAGTAAAGGTTTGTAAAATGAAAATACCTTTGATACACTATAGTACTATTAATTCAAGTAACCAATTTACATCTCATTGAATGTCTTAATGTAAATGTTTGCAAATTTTAAGTACCTATCTCTTTTTTGGTTATTACTATGAAATAAATTTGAAGGTAAGTAAATACTGTTCTGTGATTTTATTTTTCTGTCTGTTTGCTGATTTTGCATATATTTTTCTGTAAAATACTTTCAGTATTAAAATGTTGCCATTCTGATATCAGCATTATTTATTCTATGCATGTTGTTGAAAAACTTTCTTTAAAATTTGCTGCAAACAAAGCTGTAAAAAATTAAATGTAAAGATGAAAAGAATTTTAAAAAAAATGTACTCAGACTTGGTGAACACAAAACATTGAAGTTTAAATAAAAAGTATAAAATTTGGCACTAATGTACTTTTATCTTTTTTCCCCTCAGAAATTTCTTACCTGGTAAAGCAGATATGTTGGCTATATTAAAATACTGACCTGAAGAAAATATTCTTTTGGCTTATTTAAGAACAAATATATAGATGAAAAGAGAGATAATTGTATTGAGCAGCTGAAATGAGAAAAGATACAAGGGATAAGGTTACAGCTTCAAAAATGTCTATTGTCTTATGGATATTAACTCTGATGCTTGTAGGATGTGTTGGCATATTTGTATAAAGAAATTGGTTGACAGTTCTATGGCCTTTCCAATGTTGATAATATAATAGTGTCTAAGGATAGGTCTTGCTTGAAAATGACTTAAATCCAACTTTGTCTCATATTTGTCTTTACAGATTGAACATTGACCAATTTGCACATTTTCTTTGAAAATGTCCAAACTACACTTTTATGATAATATATTATAAATTCACTCTTTGAACTTGTCTCAAAGAAATCTGATGTTTCACTCCTTCTTCCAGGTTAGTTTGCTTTAATGGTGCCAATCTGTATAGGAATGTAGATTTATTGTGTTATTTATTACACAATTTTGGCACAAGGCCAGGAGTAATGGATAAGGCTGGTCAACAATAACTATCCAAGACCTAGCTAATCTGATTCATGACCCATTCATTCATTACAATTTACTCATTCACCATAAGAACTCACCCATCACCATTCAATACTATATATACCACAATACCACATCTTCACAGGGAACCGACCAAAACACTACATGACATAAAAATATCAATAAAGTTCAATTGTCTTTTTTCTTTTCTTTTTCTCTTACAAAATTATATAAAAATTTCATGAGTATGAAATGATGGGGAGAGGATGAACCCAAAAACAAAACTAAAATAAAACAAAACATTAAAGTAAGTGCAATAGTGAACAACCCTGACAATTTGATCATGACAGTGCGAAAGTGTTCAACTGCTTTCTGTTCACCTGTACCACAGCACTGGGGGAATGATACAGGAGGCTGATCCACTTGCAGAAGTCAGGTAATGATGGTTGACTCTGTTGAATGCCTTGGCCTTATACAAATTGATCAGCGCGGCTTCACTATCATCTTCTACACCCTCTAGGATCATGCAGATAAGATGCAGAATGCTTTGAATTATTCATCCTTTCACTGCACAAGTCTGCTCACGTCCCAACAAGTTCACGACAATTGACTGCAAATGCTGCATCAGGATCCTGGCCAAAATCTTTAACTCTATTTAGCAGAGTTATGAGCCTATAATCATCTAAATCCTGCCCGACACCCTTGTCCTTTTTCAACAGCGGAAACCAGTTGTTGAACATGACTGTCAAAATCAGAATAAAGATGTGCAACAGCCTCAAGTACAATTCGTAGGCTAGACCATCAAGTCCTGGAGATTTGTCACTGCGACCCTCTTCAATGTCAAGTGAACTTTGCATTCTGTGATCTCACCCTTGCAGCTAGCTGCTTCAGTCAGCTCAAGCCAAGGAAAGTCAGCTAAATAGCTGCAAAACTCATTGCCACAAAGGCCAGGCTCCTTGGTAAATCACTTCTTGAAATGCTGCTGGAATGTCTCACACATGTCCATGGTTAATCTCAGAATACACCTCTCTGGAGTATTGATCATGTGAATGTATCGATCAGAACCTTAATGGCTTTATTAGGCATCTTGTTTAACCTATGTCTAATTACCTGACCTTAGTAGTGCAGCATGCTTGGTTACTGCTATCTCTAGGGAATCCCCACCAACTTCTTCCCGGGATGGACTATCCTCTAGATTCATCACCTTTTTAGCTTTATCTAGAGCAAGTCGTTGGCTATATTTGGTGGTGAAAGACCTAATCCTAACTTTAAGCCTTTCCCACCACTTATTCCCAATAACCACCCCTACTAGTTCCCACTGCACTAATCTAGTTAGCTGTTGCTGGAAGTCCTGCCTGTACAGTAAAGGCATTGAACTTCCAGTGTCCAGCCATTCTAAGCCTAGTACCTAACACCATCTGGGCACAAATGAGTCTATGGTCCAAATAGTCTAAACAGTAGAATGTCGGACAATCTAGCAAATTTAGATTGGCCCTTATGATTAACATTCTGTCCAGGTGGCTGGTTACCCAGAGAGACAGTTATTTAAGTGCCACGTCCACATTTACCATCCCAGAGGATTGACCAGGTATCTGCCGATGAGCCCAAACTCACCAATCAGATCATTTGCTTAATAGACAACAAAGTTGCTAGACAGCACACAAGCATCAATGTTGCAAGCAAAGTATGTCTCCTGGATTGCAGCTACATTTACACTGAAGGACAAGAGATCAAAGCAGGCCCCTTGCATGCAAGCTAGCTAGCTTAATAGGCATCTTTTAAGTTTTTTAATACCTTAAACACAGACTGGACAGAAATCTATGTGGGTCAAGACCCTGAAGGATTGTGCAAGGCTTCCATTTCCAATGTCAGTCATAATTCAATGTCCATTGGAAGGTTAACTTAAGCACCCTGTATAGAAAGAGTGGAGCCAAACAGGGACTCTCCCAGCACAGATAATTTTTTTTTAGGTCAGAAGACTATTTGGCCATCCTAATTTTTGGGAAGTTGTCTTTGGCACCTGCCAAGTGGTCCCATACTTTTAAATTGCCTCCTGAGTTATGGATTAATGTAATAACTTGGTGAAAGTTCCTAGGATCCTCCACTGACTTCCCATCAATGGAGATACACTTAAAAAAGGGTGTCTCAAAAAGACCTTTCTTTCTGCAGACAGGTCTCTCCTGAGTGTCTGTCTGCCTATAATACAAATCTTTTTTTTTTTTAGGATGGGTTCAGGGACGGAGAAGGAGAAGCTCTAGATGGGGAAGAGGAGAGGCTCCCTGCCTTATCTTTGGCATTTGGACCATTGTCTACTACTGGCGAAGTAGGTGCAGATTGTCTTGTTTTTTTCCATGGATTTTTCTGCCCTGCTTCGACCAAACTTCTTTTCCTTCTTGGTAACCTCTTCCTCATCCCTTACCCTTTTCAATGAGGAGGTGCGTGGGGTTGGCATCTCTTCTGTCTCCATGTAGAAGTTCAGCAGTGGCAACTCTGTCTGCTGTTGCTGCTTCTCAAGTTGCTGCTACTGTTGCCACTGATCCTGCTGAGACACCTCCTGCCACTGCTGCTGGTCTTTGAGCTGCTGATCCAGTCACTGCTGCTGTTTGTGTTGTTGTTGCTGAATTCTACCCTTGTCCAACTGCTTCTTTGAGTGTATCTTTTGTTGCAGGACATCCTTCTGGGGAAAGGGAGGAGGGGCAGCAACCTTCGACCCCTTTTTTACCATCTCCCTCCATTCACGGTGACTGTCTGGGACCTCGCCAGGCTTATCTTCCACCACTACCTCCTTGGATGTAGCTGCCTGAGGCATCAGTCTACAGCCGGGACACATTTTTGCCAAGTGACCAGCGGTGCCACACAACAAATAGTGAGGTCTTCTTCCTCCAGCTACCACAAAAATCCTTTTGCCTCTATACACCAGAGTGTTGGGAATTTCCTGAAACTTCATCCTGTCCAGGATTACTTGGACGGAGAAGTCTCTTGAGAGCACACCAGCCTTATTCAATATACAAGTGACTTTCTCTATCATACAAGACAAAGAAGGCTCCCACATGATCTTCATTAATGTTCAAGAGCACCCCGTGTATGGTATTTCTTGTCCAATGTGTGCCCATATATTTGGCTTGCAACCGTAGTGCCTTTTTCATTGGAATATTGCCTGCTAGCTGTTTTGCTTCCTCCTCTGATGCCAGCAGTATGTCCGACATTGTATTTCAGCATTTTGCTAAACTTTTCGGGAATATCATAAGACATTTCAGTGCCTCTTTAATGGCTTCCCCACTTATGCTGACCAATTTATGGGTTTTGACATCCGACATCACCAGAGAGAGGGTCCTTGATGTCACTGCATTTAACGCCCCTCCAGGATAGTGAGTAATTCATTTCCCTTGATAAAGTCACAGTATTCCTCCTTCATCTAGTCATAATAGGCTGCATTCTTTTTTTAGCCTATTTGAATTCCAAACAGATGGACTTGGAGACTGTATTTCTACCTGGGTAGCAATTGACTGGGGAGACTTGGCCATTGTGGTCATGACCTCACCACAGTACACCAAGACAAAAAAAAATTCCAAAAAGAGGTATAACAGTTACTACAAAATATTACAACACAGGACAAAAACATGGTCACAAATGCAAACAAAGATTGAACTTACAGTGACAAAGCTTCACTGAAAAAACAGGCTATTCCAAGAAAGAAAAACAATCTGTATTGGAATGACTGCTAAAAACATCCCCCTCCTTAAATTTATAGACAAATCCTACAGATGCAAGCTGGGATTTCTTCCTAGCCAATAAAAATGGATCACTTCTCAGTCTCATACACTATATTTTTGCTTTTTCTTGTCTTGAATTCAGAATGCTACAATCACTTGACTGTATCTCTTTTGCATGTGAACACCATTCTTGCTTTAAGAACTTTTTGCCTTATTACTGCATATATATTACTTGCATATATATATTGTATGTTTGTTTAGTATTATTTTGTTCTGTTCTTTTTCTTATTTTTCATTAAGCATTTTACATTTAACTATTTGCCAATTACTCCACAGTTTTTTTTTATATTAAAGTAGAGAAAGAAAACTATAAGCTCTTTCCCCCCACCTTGTCAATTTTGTAAGCACCATCATAACCAAAGAACACAGATATTTATAAGAAAAGTACATACATTCTTGCCATATTAAAATCAAATGTTTTATACATTTCTCTGAAGTTTATTACCATATGCCATTAAACTTGGAAGAAGGAAAATTCTGGCTTTGTTTCCAGAAGATATCAGGATTTTGAATACACAAGTCTAAACTTCAAGTTAAGAGGTATGTTAATTAAAAGAAAAGGATTAAATTTCTACCATTATGTTTTTTTTAATTAAACGATAAGAAAAGTGTTGATAAATACAATTCCATCATCCTGTTAAAACAATGATAGGCATTCATTTTCTATGATTCATATACTATTATACTAAATTTTAAAGGAAGACATTTATATTATTATAAATATATTGATAACAAAAATAACACAGAAATTCCCTATATACCCAATATCATATTTTATTATGCAAGTCTATATTTTCATTAAGAATATATTAAGTGACCAATGTTGTTAAAATGTTCATGATATACTCATATTTATACAAGCAACATACCAAGTGAGGTTCAGCTTATAATATAAAAAATATGGATAAAGACTTGTTTTTTTTTGTGGGAGGTCAAGTTTTATTAAGCAAATAAATTAAGCACAACGTAACTTTTTATTTATAAATAAATCCCAAAGATATTGGACATATTTGATTAACACCAGATCTCATATACTTGAATAAATTATTATTTTATATTTTTACATGTTAATATGATCTTCTTGACATTTTATAACCTTCATCAGTCATTTAACTGTTGATTTTATTAATGTTTCTACTCTTTTAATATTAACTCTACCAGAGATCTTATTTACTTGTTTTCTGTTTTTATATACACATATTTTGATGAAGGACAACAAGTATTCTAATGAATTTATAACTGGGGAAGTTAGAGGGCATTCCATTAATTTGGCATCTTTGAAATTATTTTTAGCAATGTGGACAATAGTCAGTTTTGCAGAATTTGAAGGAACATTGTCTTGCATGAATATCCTGAATCAGTGAAAAATGACTTGTTCAGGAGCTTACAATAATTCTTTGCATTTGTCATCAACATTGAAATGTGTATAATTTTACTGCCTACAATATTAATTCAAAACGTTTCTCCTCCATTGCTTTTTATATTGATGCTGGTTGACTATTCCCATGAAGGATCAAATCTTTAGCCTGGTCATGAGGTCCATCTGATATAGCTCTACAATCAATGCTAAAAAGTAATATTATAAAATTAATTTTTATGTACTTCTTTATCCAACTTATACATTCCTCTTTGTGATGTTTACTTAAATGTATTTTGGGTTATTTCATGTTGTTAGCCAATGTTCTTAATATTTAGCATCTTTTTCTGTTTATATTCACAATACAAACTTTTTTTAAATTTTTCTATGATCTCTGTTCAGCATTTTTGCAATTTTCAACATTGTCTTATGTTATAATATCTTGTTTCCCTTTCAAGTTTCCCTTGCAATATTTATATGTCTGACATAAATAAATATAGATCAACAACTAAAACTACTTTATAGATTTATTTACAATATGATGACCAACCTTCAAATTGCAGAATAAAATCTCACACCAGCAAATAAGTTATTGTAAATATTTTTGATAAAAATATATATTATTAGCTGAAATTTATTTAGTATATTTATCATATAAATTTTCATTTTACAAACATTGGTTGGTTAATGAAAACATTGACTTGCATCAGAAAATCTGAAATAGTGAATTTGTAAAATTTGAATAAGACTATATGATCTAAAAAAAAAAAAATTTCTCCTCTACTGTTTTCAAATGTTACAACAGTACATACTAGCATTCCCCTCTTTTGATTGTTTTTTTTTTAACATGCTTAGTGTACCATAATGAACTGATAACAGTCAGCCATCATAATTTTTGCTCCAAGTGTGTATGTTATCTCTGTTAAAACAAGATCCAGTGATCCTTATGAAGTTCAACAGAATATCCAATTCATCATTACAGAGATTTACAAAACCACCATCAGCTGAGAGGTTGAATCCATAATCTCATCTAGTCTCTACACATGAACTTGACAAATAACCCAAAAGAGCTGGAAGCATGATTTGTCTGACCAGGTGACATTGCTGTCAGTCTTCAATAGTAACGTTCTTTGGCTTAGATGAGGTACACGATAACATATACCATTGTGTCAATAATTATACCTTGTTGTTTGATGACCACAAAAACCCCATGGAATACACTGTATGTTGTACAGTTCACTAAGTGAGAGGGATGTTGAAAAACACCAGCATTGAATTGGGGTGCGATTTGATATCCATGTTCTTCTTCATTGAGTGGTTACCATTCTTGTTAGTCCCTTGTGGTCCTGATCTTACATTAACTGTGGTGTTTATAGTTTTGATATGCTGCTGATGCCTGGATTTCAAACATTCCAGATATATACTTTTTTTGCCTGAGGAAAATCTAGAGTTAAATCTTGGACAAATCTTGGAGTTAGATTGCCCATCTTTTGAACACTAATTATATCTCCACCCTCTGATTACCAATTTTTCTGCTGCTTGAATGATTAAGGTTTCTGAAATGACATCAAAGCAAACAGTACTGCAAATGTTTTATGATTTGAAACTAACATTATTCTATCATAAAGTGATGTATGATTTGTCTACATGTTGGCACAAAATGATAAATAACAATGTTAATCATACTTAACTTCTTTTCTGAGATATAATGCTTAGTGTACCATAATGAACTGATAACAGTCAACTATCACAATTTTTGCTCCAACTGGTAGAAATAATTTTGTATTGTATTTTCTTGTTGAAAAAGTGTTCACTTGTAGATAATCTTTCAATTAATCAAAACAACCTAAAGAAATTATCTGAAATTGTCTTGGAGAAGATTGTTTTCTTATGTAATGTACATACCCTGTGTTGATGTGAAAATTATTCGTCGTTCCAGTGTGCTCATAATCATGAACCAAGGCAGCTACAATTGTGGCAAAAATCTCCAAGTCTGTCAGCCAGTTCTGAAAAGAAAAAAATATAAGAATTATAACAGGGCAATTCTAAATAATCCAATACACAAGTTTTAAATTTTAAAAAATCTTGCATTTCAAATTTTGCATTTTGATTGAAATGGTGTCAGAAGTTTCAATAACAATCTATAACACCTCTATTTTACAAACTCTAATTGACAGAAAATATGAAAGAGTTCATTGGTTTAGGGAAAGGTAATTTATCTGTTCTGTCTTCTGTAAGATTTGAAGTGTATATTGGCAATTTTGAGGGACAAGTCCCACCTTTCTTTTTTTCAAAAGCATTAATACCAAATCATTTTAACAACCTATGAATATCAATAATGCTAAAAGGCAAATATTTTGAATTTATTTATATTATTTTACATGTGGACTATTGTCCTCATTTTTGTTATTGTTATCGGGACTTTTTAGCCTAGTGCATTAAAACATTGGGTTATAAATTTGGTGACAATGTGAGTTCAATCCCTGGGCTTAGCAGTGTGTAAAATGGGGCAACCTTAACGGAGCAGTACTAAATAAAATCTAGATGATATCTCTAGACATGATCAGCAGAATGAGAACAGTCTAACTTCATAAATTAAATAAAGGGTTCAGTTCAATTTCCCTGATGGTTACTTGGATTAACAAGCACCTGATAAAGGCTGGAAGGCACAATGGCTGAAATGTTGTGATAACAACAATAAAGATAATCCACATATAAATAATGATAACTCCTCATCGAAGAAATTATCTTGAATTTAGACAATTTTCTCTGGCATCATAATATCTCATGCGCTAAACACCTACAAAGAATAACTGCCTGGAAAAATATACAGGATATATAAGTAATCTAAAATATGAAAGCAAAACTATTTTAAATCATTGCCATTAATTCAATTAACAGTTCAGTGTAACTGTGTATAATTTTGTTGAGTCTTTTTATGCGGAATACACTGTATGTTGTACATTTCACTAAGTGAGAGGGATGTTGAAAAACACCAGCATTGAATTGGGGTGCGATTTGATATCCATGTTCTTCTTCATTGAGTGGTTACCATTCTTGTTAGTCCCTTGTGGTCCTGATCTTACATTAACTGTGGTGTTTATAGTTTTGATTTGATATGCTGCTGATGATCAGACTCAAAAGCATAGAAATGTCATAAAGGCAACCATTAATAACAAAAAATAATTGAAGAAAAGTGACATTTATAATCTTTTTCTTTTGATAATCAATTGTAGATGTGAAAAACCATGATATAGTAGGGAGAAGGAAATTTAACTTGTGATAAACCTTCATCAAAAGGTTATATCAAATCAATCCAAAGGGAAAAACTTACCGATAATTTACTACTTGATAAGATGTAATGAACTGTCTGTGCCACATCTGCTGCATGAAGCAAATTATGATAAGGGTTTTTATACTTTGAATAACCGGCCTCCATTGATAGAAGGAAAGCATCTAATGCTGATGTGTTTATCTGTGAAGAAACAAAAATAGAAAAAGAATTTAAAATCTTTCTTATTGTAATTGAATTTAAATGATAAACAGGGAACAAAACTTGAATTTTATTCTTCTGACAATAGAGATAAAAAGTTTCAGTTGGTTGGTTGTGAACAAGAAAATTGCTTTTATAGTTTTAGTAATTCAGTAAAATGATTGCAGAAATGAACAAAAAAATGAAGAGATTGTTCTTTTTTATGGCAATAAGATCTCTTTATCACCTATCATGGCTTTAACATCTGCTTTGATAGTGCAATAATTTTTATAATTAAACTGCATTCCTCTTTAAATTGGACATTCACAATATATATACATATAATGCATATTTTTCCTTAATATTTCTTGAACATTTTGGTAGGAAAAAAAATAAATATACTATTATATACAAATTATACATACATATATATATATATATATATATATATATATATATATATATATATATATATATATATATATATATTTTAAAGAAAAAACAGAGCACTCTAAGGTTCTATTATAATAATGTTTAAATGATATATAATGTTTAAATGATATATATATATATATATATAATGTTTTAAATGATATATATATATATAATGTTTAAATGATATATATATATTGTTTAAAATATATATATATATATATAATGTTTAAATGATATATAATGTTTAAATGATATATATATATATATATATATAAAATGTTTAAATGATATATAATGTTTAAATGATATATATATATATATATATATAAAATGTTTAAATGATATATAATGTTTAAATGATATATATATATATATATATATATATAAAATGTTTAAATGATATATAATGTTTAAATGATATATATATATATATATATATATAAAATGTTTAAATGATATATATATATATATAAATGTTTAAATATATATATATATATATAAAATGTTTAAATGATATATATATAAATGATATATATATATATATATATATATATATATATATATATATATGTTTAAATGATATATATATATATGTTTAAATGATATATATATATATATATATTTAAATATATATATATATATATATATATATATATATATATATATATATATTTAAATATATATATATATATATATATATATATATATATATAATTTAAATGATATATATATATATATATATAATGTTTAAATGATATATATATATATATGTTTAAATGATATATATATATATATATATATAGTTTAAATGATATATATATATATATATATATATATATAATGTTTAAATGATATATATATATATATATATATATAATGTTTAATATATATATATATATATATATATATATATATATATATATATATATATATATATATATAAACGACTCTTTTGTCCCATAAAATCAATTTAATTAAGACACTTACTGATAGGGCCTTAATGATCTGTTCTAAAACAAAGCTAAATGATGAACTCAAGTTTGTTACTATCACTCTCTGCAACAATGCCTATCCATTGGGAATTGTTCAATCAATAATTAAGAACCAGATTTGGGAATTCAATAAAGTTAAACTGGATATAGTACAAAGATGTCCTGTGTCCCTGGACCTTCCTTGGCTGGATAGTATCAGAGATAGATATGCTAAGTGGGTTTCTTTAGCAGTTCGGCATTGTTATTTGCTGCTATTTTTGCTGTAGATTTTTTCTGCCACACCTATTCTTCCATCCATGTGGAAAGACGTTCTTCCTCTACATCATAATAGTTCTTTGATTTATTCATTTAAATGAATTTGTGGTTCATGCTATGTAGGGAGAATGAATCAAAAACTGGATGTCAAGAATAAAACATGTACCAACAAAAACCCAAAACCTTAAGTATTCTCCGCCAGACATTCTGACCAACACAGACATGTCTTCCATTGTGGATCAGCTAATAAATAACCATAATTGTACTGCTAATTTCATTGTGGACTCGTTTTCTGTTCTTAGTAAGTCCCACTCAAGTTACCACTTGAAAATATTGGAGGCCATATGCATTTTGTCCTTAAGACCTTCGTTATGCAATCAGAAGGATTTTGTACTAGGCCTCCAATTAATTCCATTTAAGAATTTTTCTTTTTTTTTCCTTCCATACATATTGTCCATCTTTTTATTGATAATTATATGTTTATTAACCTTGATTTAGCTCTGTTGAATGATGTTCAAAACTGGTTAGCTGGCTCGTTTTTCATTTTCCCTTTTAATTGCTATCATGAGTAGTAATAAATACAAATTTTGACTATTCATGGCGGTCATTAAGTTTTCTATCACTATTCTTTTTATATATATATATATATATATATATATATATATATATATGACATCACACATTATGAAATGGACAATGTCTGACAATTATTTTAAGACATTTTTATGTTTATACATTCTTTTTTATAGAATTAAATATTTAAGTAAATGCACTGTATTTTTTTTATAATAATCAGTATTTATAACATTTACCGGCCTGAATGTCTGAGAAATTTTCATAGAAAATATTCGTCCTCCAACAGGATTAAAACCTGTATCCTTATACGGAACCGTCATTTAGCCTGACGTGCTCTTAACCAATCGAGCCACAGAGGATTGTTCGATTAGCAATGTCAAATCTACTGCCTTTAAACTTCAATCTTCCATGAATCTCTCATGTACATATCTGCTCAAAGCGTATCCAAATGAAAACAAATGACGTCACACATTATGAAATGGACAAAGTCCGACAATTATTTTAAGACATTTTTATGTTCATACATTCTTTTTTATAGATACAAATATTTAAGTAAATGCTCTGTTTTTTTTTTTAATAATAAACAGTATTTATAACATTTTCCGGCCTAAATGACGGTTCCATATAGGATACAGGTTCGAATCCTGTTGGAGGATGAATATTTTCTATGAAAATTTCTCGGACATTCATGTGTGTGTGTATTTAAAAAAATGATGATCAGTAGATTTGAGTGATATTTTTAATAAATCAAAATAAATTGACACAAAAACAGAAGTGGAATAGATGTTAACAACAGTTGCCAAGAGAGCACATAGGATGAAGAAACTGAATGACTAAGAAAAGTCAAAAACAATAAATTTTGTATTCATTTTCTCCAAATTGATACATTGTTGCTAGCCACAAGAATTATGCTTGGAGATTTATTCACAGAGATGAGTAAAAATTAATGCTTACTATATTTTAAAAATTGTTACAAGCAATTGTGTAGCAGTGAGAAGTCACTTTTAAGTTTTTTAAATTACACATTATCTTTCTTTAACTGGAAATAATAGACATTATTTTTTTTTTGTTGTTTTCATGAAGAAGACAAATTATTTCTATAATATTCATACTTAGAAGAGTTTATGGAGTAAATGTTGGCTTGAGAAAGGAGAATTTCTTTTAAGAAAGGAGATATTTTGAAAAAATCCAGGGCAAAGAATAATTTGAGGAGAAGAAAAAAATATTATTTGTTTTAACCCCACCTTTTAATTTAGAGATGAAATGAAAGATAGAGAAAATATTTTTCAAATTGCTTAATAAACATTTCCCTAAAAATTCCAAATTGCACAAGATCTTTAATAAAAAATAGAGTTAAGCAGCTGCTGTACTAGTAATTTGGAAACTACAATAAAAAGACAAAACACCAGAAATTTTAAAGCTAACGTTCAGCAAGATATCGTTAACAGTGAAACCTGTAACTGTAGAAATAATAGTAAATGTCCACTGGATGAAGTTTGCAAAATAGAAGGAGTAATTTACAAAGCAAAAGTAAAAGATATAAATGATCAGAGCAAAATATATATGGGGTATACTGAAGGCAGCTTCAAGAAGAGATGGTTTAATCACATCATCATTTAGGCTAGAAAGCCTTAGGAATTTTAACAAACTAACCAGCCATGTGTGGGAATTAAAAGAAAAATAACAAAAATCCTAATGTAAACTGGAGAATATTAAGAAGTCCCTAACCTTAAAGCAATCATAGTGATGTCTGCAAACTGTGCCAGGGAAGAAAAATTAACTATAACATTTCCAGGCCCCCAAAAATCTTCTAATGAAAGATATGAAATAATGTTATAACGTAAACACACTAAAAAGTACTTTTTGAATTCGTATGAACACAGATGAATGTATGTATAATTTATTTACCCATTTTTAACACAATTTCAATATTCTTGCCTTACTCCTCCCCTTCTATTACACTTCATGATGTGCATTCATATATGAATAATAAAGTGTTAGGAAATCATTTGATCTATATTGCCTGAGGATACCTATAGGTTAAAACCATGGTAGCAGAATTGACTGATCTCCTAATTTTTTAAATTTAAAAGCTCTGCATGTTAAATTTTTATTTTCTTTATATGTGCATTGAGCACTTTTTAATACAGCTATTTCCGGATCTAATTTAACTCTGACTAATAACTGTTTTATATATATATATATATATATATATATATATATATATATATACACACACACCCATTGACAGATTAGTATTGAAGTTAGTAAATATTAGGGAAAAGCTATTTCCATGGTATATCTTCTGCAATGATTTATTATAGAAATTTTTTTCATTTTAATAATAACTGATAATCACTTTGCACAAGTTTATTTGCCATGATTTTGACATGACATGAAATAATATTGGACTCTCTCCTCACTGATGAAGAAGAGACTTGTAGCAATTTGGTTCTGCTGATGAATGCTGAGAATACTATGGACAAAAATGTGAGTGATGAGGAAGTTTTAAGTAAAAAACAGAGACTACAAGGAAACTGATACTCACAATCAAAAAGACAATTGAGGACATTTCTGGGACATAATAAAGAATAAGAGCTTGGAGAATTTAACAATTACATGACATAATAAAGGCAAAAGAAAGAAAGAAAAATAATAAGAAACACATTTAATGAGCTTCAGTGAATGAATGGCAGGACAAAGAGAAATGGAAAGGATAGTAAAAGGTCAAAAGTTACTTAGAGCAACAAGACAAGAAATTGTAGAGGACCATGATTACCCACATCCTGAAAGGACATGGCACCTAAAAGAAGAAACAAAGCTGGTAATACATGCTGGAATTTTCAATATTTTAGAAGAGATCTATGTATGTTATAACCCTGTCAACTCACCTGCAGACTATAGGGCCAAAGCATCACCATGTTAGTTGCTGCTATTAATAACTACTAATATTTTAGTAATTTTTTTTTTTATCTAAATACACTTGCATTAGGTTCACTGAGAAATGCTTGCATTTTTAGAAGCAAACAACAGTTGTGTAAATAAAGATGTAAATTTAAATAATCTATTTTTTTTTTACAAATTCTCAAAAGGTAATCTGGAGCATCTGCAAGTACATATTTCTATTCTACTTTCTTTTGTATGTTTCATAAATAATTATGCTTAATTTTAGAAAATCGTTTCAGTCATAAGGCAAGTGAAAAATTTATTAATCTTGCATTTGTGACTTACCTTAAATTTTGTGAGCAAATCATATTTCTGGAGTAATTCATAGCCAACGTATTTTAATGCATGGCCATCTTCATTTGTTGCAAAAACATCAAAAGACCAGTCATCAAGGTTCTGAAATAAAAAAGAAATAATATCAACAATTGTAATTATTTAAAATATGAGATATGAAATTATTTATTTTTTTTCAAATTAGTAATTTTTTTTTATATTTTGATCTATGCAATCATGGCTTTCTTCATGTTTATATTTTCCGTAATTGCAAATAGAGTTAAAGAATTTAAACGAAATTTATTTTCTTATTGATATTTCAAAGAGTCAATGGTACATTTTATCAAGAAAAAATATTATTTTTCCACTTTGGATGATCTAAACCAACTGAACTTGCATAAATTGATAGAAAATAAAATTGCATCACTTTGAAAAATTATGAACTGTGAACTGTGTATACTATGTGCATTCACTTTTGTACTAATGCCCTTAGGAAAAGAATGAAACTATCTATATTCTCCCAACCAGTTATGGTAGATGGCACTTGCCAGCCCTAAGTGGCAACCAGACTAGGAGAAGTTGGAGAAGGTAATGGCAAAACACTTGCACTAACATTCCCAAGAAATCATGAGAATTCCAAGATAAAAAAATAAAAAGAATCTGTGAAAAATCAGGGCCATCGATGATAGATGCCTTATTTTGGAACTTTTGCATGTATAGTTCTATATATATGATCAATTACTGTAATCCAACTATATTACCTGTATGTTTAATCTTGAGAAAATTGAAAAACACACCGAGAGTATTCCTATTTTTTTTCAGCATATATTATTTTCCATAATAAAAAAAAATTAGAAAATGAAATTAATTTACATTTGTGTTAAGAAATAATTATCACTGTAAACCCAACACTTCTTATTTTTTTCTCTTCAAAACATGACATCACACTATGATCAAGTATGGTCAGAAAATTCAAATGATTTGGTAAGAGAATTTGATTTTCTCTTTTGACTGCCATAATATCTACTAACTGACCAATTGCTACAGGGTTCCTTAAAAAGATTATGTCATGAAATTGATTCTTTACTATTAATCAATGACCATATATCTTTTTATATGATACACGTTATTATGTTTATGACATAATAGGATACATGTTATGTTTATATGATATATGTTATTGTTTGAGGCTCGAGAAAGAATTCTTCCTTTAAATTAACTGAATGGTTTTTAATTTTTTTTTACTGTTTTTTATGATTATCAATTTACTCAATGGCACAAAAACTAATTCATATGAATACTTATCTGATATACCTTTTAATTTTTGCTTTTTAATCATTTCACCCCAAGCAAAGCAATAATACCAATAAGATGCAAGGGGTTACTGGGAGTAATGAAGAGAAAGGATAAAGAACAGGATTCAAGAAGACAGAAGATAGCAATTAAAAGATTGCATTTAAATTTTTGAAGAGCATAAGTCGCGGAGAAGCAAGAAGTCAGAACAGAGTTCTACAGGTGAGAATTGCAAAATCAGAATAGAACTTACAGTTACATATTTCAATAGTAAAATGATGAGACCTAGTTGCCAAACTAGTAGTATGCTTAAATTCATACAGTGGGCATACCAAGGTGGAGAACTCATTAGAATAATTGCCATGAAAATATTTATATTAAAAGACGGAAGGAAGCCATATTATGGTGGTAGGAAATTGACTGAAACCAAGATGCCAGTTCAGGACTGATAACACTACAGATCCTTCTTTGGATTTTATCGAGAATCTCAAGAAGATATATAGTGGGAGCACCAGACCTGATATGGCAGATTTATAAATGTGCAAGATGGATTCTGGTGAGAAAAGTTGGTTTACTGTATCATGCCAGATAATTTTTTGGCACATCTGGCATGACACACAGTGAACCAACCCTCCTAGCAGCTGACCTAACTATATAATCACTCCACTTCATGTCAATGGAAAATGTGATACCAAGAAGGTACAATGAAGGTTAGCATCAGCCATACTAATGGAAGGCAAAATGGTTTTCTATGATGATTAAAAGATAGCAGTTTTGTTTTGGAGGCATTCAAATTTACAAGCCATTTCTTGTTTCAGTTAACAACTGACTGGAAGTCATTTTCAAGATCAGCTGTCAGTTTTAGTTTGTCTGACATAATCAGACCAGGAGTAAATAGTTGTGTCATCAGCATAAATACTGAGTAGGGAACTGATGACATCAGGAAGGACACTGATGAAGATAAGAAACATTGTAAGTCTTTTCATTACACAATTTATTAAGAACAATTGGAGTAAAGCCAAATATTTGGTCATAGAGACCATAAACCTTGAGCTTGTGAAGAAGGCCAGCATGCCAAACCCTGTCAAATACCTTTGAGATATCTAAAGCAATGAAAGGAGCATATGAACATTATGAACCAGATGCAGAAATGACATGTATCTCTTCAGGACAAACAAGTTTTAAGTCAACTAAATTTGATAAAACCACAGAAGCAATACTTAACAACATATCTCTACATGTTGAAAAGAATCAAGAATTCAAATTTATTACATAAAATCTGTCTCCAAAGATAGGATTCAAAGACTCTGTCAGTAGCAGTAATGATTTAAATAACACAAATGTACAAGGTTCTTAATTCTTATATATGGACAACATAGACATAGGAATCAACATTGTATGATGACTATCAGTTTCTTGCTTCCATGTGAACTACAGGCCAAGAGAAGGACTTGATTTGAAGATTACATGAAAGCATAAAACTGAGTTGCCATGCAGTTGATCCCTATGTCCACCCTGTCTATATGTATAAAAGTTCTATTTCTAATATTGAGTACTCTTCCCCTATAAATATATAATGATTTTTAATTCTCTCTCATATATATATATATATATATATATATATATATATATATATATATATATATATATATATATATATATAAAGTTGTAGCCTCTGTCTGTCTGTCTGTTTGTTATCAAACTCAATCCTCCCAGGGTTTTGGAGATAAACCCCCATAACCATATATATATTCTGAAACTACATTACCCAGGGTACTTGGATAAGTATATTTCATTTTGATCAAAGGGGTCTCTGGTGGGAACAATCCTGCCACTAAAATTTTTTTCCCTTTGATTTAAATTAAATTTAAATATGAACAAAGGAATGACTCCCAGGGTACTTGGACAAGTATATTTCATTTTGATCAAAGGGTGTCCCGGGGGATGTGAATGAACCACCTGAGGATTTTTTTCACTTTGATTTAAATTAAATTTAAACAAGTGAATGACTCCGATCCAAAATATAGAAGGAGAAAGCCAGAGGATGGAGGTCACATTGGTAAGATCATTGAATAATATTGAAATGCATCATTTTTCTCCACAAATTATAACAATGATTTAAAATCAATCATCATTTTCTTACAAAAAAAATGTGTGACACACAGCAAGGTAGGGGGAATGTGGTTAGTGTGTATATATATATATATATATATATATACACGCACACACACCACTGCTGTATGGTGACTGTCAGTTTCCCAGCACAAGACATCTTCAGATCATGTGTCACTCTTCCTTTGCTGGGGAAGGTGAGAACCAGCTAGCCCTTCCCAATTCTTTTGTTTAGAGTTAATGCTTTATCTTATTTATACCAATGATCACAAGTATACTCTTTTATTTTGTTTTTCTATTTATATATTTCAAATATAAATAAAATATTCATTAAACTCATTGACAAACACCCCCACCCAAATTAAGAAAGCTGTACAAAATATTTAACAGATATGCTACAGAACTTAGTTATAGTGACACCGAAAACATCCTACAAGTAAATAAAAATAAAAAAAAATACAGAAAAATCACAAATACAACACAAACACTCACAGCCCACACCTGTAACTACAGAACAAATTAACTGACTAGTTTTATACTAAGATACATATTGAATAAACAGGAAACATTATCACAAATTATTATCCTTGCTAAAATATAAAGTAAAAGATTCATTTTGGTTATTATTTTTCAACTACTAAATTATTACTTATTTTGAAACCTGTTAAAATAACATTGTGCTATATAATACAATGAACAGTTAATATTTTTAAGTTATGTTAAATACAATAAAATATGGGACAAATGCAAAGGTGAGGGTGAAACTCACTGTGGTAGTAATTGTTTGTGAAACAAGCTTACTAACCAATAAATCCATAATCATGTCACATCACAAGTCCTGTGACCTATTTTAGTCATAGGAGCACCACATATACTGCAGCCATAGCAGCAGTAGTGTGTCTAGAATAAGATAGCATGACAGAGCCCATCCGTCTTCAGTGAAATATACCTTTTAACCTATAGCTGTGGGGAGAAGAGGAAATGGATTCTTATGTTTCTCAAGGGTATTTGTGCAAAATTGAACATAACAGACTCAGCCAGAATTTGAACTTGGTTTACCAATTACTCTTTATAATACCAGAACATACTATTCCATAAAAAGGTGATCAAATATGGGAAAATTGAACTGATTAAATATTGTCATTTTTACTACTTTCATATTTAAAGATTGTGCTCTTGAATGTGGAATTTTGTTATTCTTGTATTATCCATTTTTATATCCAACAAAATGTATCATTAATTTTTTAAGCATTACTTAAAAAAAAATACTTGCCAAATTAAGTAGTGTTAATTTTCATATTTATTTTCCCTTCTGTGATTATCTCTGTCTTATTTGTTGAGTAATGATCCCACAGGTTGTGATATTGAATAGAACATAATCTGTTAAGTGGCAATTATGAATAAATATTTGCAAAATGATATTCAAATATATGAATATTTATCTTTTCAGAATCTATATCAATGTTTTAATACTTTCAAGTACATGAGTCTCCTTCATTCATATTTTCAGAAAAGATAAAATATATTTCAAAATAGTCAATATAAAGCCTATATTTTTTTTTCTAATTCTGAACAGTTCAACCACAAAAAATGCATCATGAACTGATTTTGGTTCCTATCATGTAGGTAAAATTGAATAAATTTATTCATTCAAACTAAGAAATGTATTTGCATGTAAAACATTCAACAGACCAGTAAGTAACGAAACCAGTCAGATA